GAGGGGGCGGCCAGCGAGCCGAATTGCCGAGGTAGCATCACGTCATGAAATAACGACTGGGATGGAATCACAGTCACTAGTGACTCAGGTGCTGACTAACAAGCTAGCGTCACATTTATCACTGCCCCCAGTGACGAATTTCGGTACTGCTATTAATGTAGGCATGTGGTGGCTTGACACCTGCGTCCTATAAATAGTATTGCTCTCTTTATGCTCCGATTAACCTTATCTGCTTTATCGGCTGAAACCGCGGAGGGTGGCACACACACGAGATTACGTAAAGCACTGGGAATAGCTGTTGGCTTAGAACGAGATGAAAGAAAGAGGTTGTTTGTCGTGTGTAATCACTGTCATCTAAGCAGTAAATTTAAAAATAAACGGCTGACTGGGTAGAAGAAATGCATGCACTCAGGAATGGGCGCATACTGATACAATTGGCTTCGCGAAGTAAGCAAACTTCGTGTGTGGGTGGTAGGGGAGAGACCCTATGTGAACAGATGTGGCGGATAATTTCAACCAGTGAACGTGCGGCGCGACCGTCCAATATATTGGCGGACGTTTTAATGTTTTTGTTTGTCATGAAGGGGTTCTAAAAACTGGAAGAAAACACATCCAATGGTTCTTGTAAGTTATTTCGCACGTAACTTGAAGGTGTGCGCGGCGCTCCGCGCCGCGGACCATACTAACTCCAGAACGGTAAGTTGGACCACAGGTAATTTGAAGTAGACGACCTCCTAAGCGCGGGCTTCGTGCCGCGGACTATACTAATCTAAATCCAGAACGGTAAGTTGGGCCTCAGGTAAGTTGAAGTAGACGACCTCCTAACTACCATTTACCTTTTTCTAAATTATTTAAAAGACAATCTTCAACGATATAATAATGAATACAATCCTTAAAAACGTTGGAAACGCCTGCTAGTCTGTTGGTCGTTCTTCCTGCATTTTTATTGGCTACACGTTTATCTGCACAATGTTTCAAATATTCATTCACGTGGTAGGGGGCACAAGCAGGCACCTGCCTGCCAGACCGCAGTCGGCCAGCCTATAATAGCAGAGTGGGATGGTGACAGCGTTTGGGAGGGGGGCAACTTAACACAGAACTGTTTCGGGCTTATTTGCCTTCATTCAGCCAAGCAGCATAATTCTGACCATCAGTTGGACCGGAAACGCAAACATGCGTGCGCACACACAGCGATGGAGCAGATCGAGAAACAGTAAATGAAGCAAAGGAAGATGAGATTTACAGCAGGGAGATAAAGCGTCTGGATTGGGAGAGGGGGGAGGAAGTTGACTCTGACATGCCTGCCAAGCAACTAGTTGTGAATGCAGCGTTGTGCACACGTAGCTGTGGGAAAGATACCCATGTAGGGGGAAAAAATACGTATTGCGGGAGGAGAGTCGGAAGTAGAGAGGGATAGGCAGTGGTTTTCTTCCCAGACCTGCGATTACGCGCTCTGCGTCCTAGATCTGTCTGAAAGTGCTTCGCTCTGCTTAAACAGCCCATTCAATGCTGTGGTGCTTTATACTGCCACTGTCTCAGATGCTGAGTTCCAGTAAGAATCCGAAGTTATAGGCAACTAAACCTCTTCTTCTTCTAAGTCCTCTGACAGTGTACGTACGTATCTGACTTCTCCCTCCTTTCCCCTCTCTAGGTCAGTATCCTCAATCAGACCCATATGCAGTGCCCCGTCCTCTATAGGACGCTGCGATTTGATGAACATTTTCTCGATCCCAGCACCACGTCACCTCCCTACTCCCCTAACGTATCCGGCAACTCCACTCTTACCTGCGCAACTTTTGGTAACCGTCAACCCTTTGTCTACCTAAACTGCGGCCACGTCCACGGTTGGCATCCTTGGCGTCACCGCAACGATCCGTGAGTTCCAGACACGCTCTTATTCTCTGTATATACTTTTCACTGAGCTTTCTCAAAATCCTTCGCTTCGTGTGTAGACGTAAACAGTAGCCCTGTTTTAGTGCCTGGCAACTTCGACCAAGAATTATGCACTAATGTATTGTTCAAGATACTGTTTTTTGCCCATTTTTGCAACTGTCGTTGCAATATTGAGTTTGCGTCGTGTTTGCTGACTCCCTTATAGTGCGTTTGCATGGAAGAATCTGCGTAAGCGTCTGTCAAACATTTAGGTGTGCTGCAGCCTCTTGGGTTTTGCTTTAGGCATTTCGAATAAAATAGTTTGATTAATATCCTCCACTGAAGAGATTATAAGACGACTTACCCCAAACTGGCCGAAGTCCTCACCAAAGGTAGACTAAGAGTGACAGTGAGTGGTACCTCTGCCTCTCTTCACTTGATGCTAAAATGTGCATAACTTTTGCTTGCAGTATAATTTGGCTCCCGACGCCGACTTACGGGATGCAGTCGCAGCCTTGTGACCGTACAGTTTCGGAAGCGATTGACTGAATTTGTTGGGCATGTGGGTTTAAAATCTATTACGTTTATGGCATACTTTAATGGTGTTGGTGAGCACCTAATCAGAGGCTGTTCTCAAATTCATCTCGTTGTTGCGTGTGGGAAGCTTGATGTCAGTGTGTTTCGTCCTCGGTCAGTGGTGCTTTACAAGGAGTTTGGACTGTCATGTGCGGACTGCGTATTGAACTTGAAGCTGACTACGTGAACTCTCGTGTTGTGAACCCCAAAAAACGCCGAGTTTCTTGCCCCTATTTTATTTTAGGCTATCTTCCTCATTCTCGAGAAAAAAAACGCCCCCGTGCCGGCTCATTGCCTTTGGTGAACACCCACCTATGACCGACATTTGAGACCATAATTCTGCTAAGTTGTCTGCCGGAAAGTGGTAAAACTTTAATACCCCACCCAGTCCCATACTTGTGATTGTAATGGGTCATGTGTCATTAATCAGGCGGATTATGCTGCTTCCGTCTTTATCCATGTTAATTTCTACTTTTTGCATACTACTACCTTTTAAACTTTTTTTGGTTTTGTTACTGACAGTGTTTAGGGTTTTCCATCTGTTCCGTGGTCATAGTCGTGATCGCAGAGTCCTCTGTCTATCATTCAACGGATGTTGTCTGTTGTCGTCATTCTAATTTTCAATAGTTGATATGTTTCGGCATGCGGTAACTGACGTGAGTCCGCGTGCAAATTCTTCTCTTTTTGTCGTACTCTTGACTACCTAAACTGAAATTCTGCTGTCTGCGCCGTTCTAGATGTAATTGCTTCTGTTTCTGTAGGAATTGTGATGGCCACATGGATTCCTGCGTTTTCCCTGCCTTGAATCTGACCCTAAAACTTTTCCAACTGTTCCGCACTTTCTTCCTAGCGTCTTACGCCTTCGCTTTTTTGGTTGTTTTTCCCTCTCTCACTAGCAATGACCGAAGCGCAGATAGAACTTGTCCACTCTGCCGGCAGACCTCACGCTTTGTTCAACTCACCTTTGGTGAGGAAGTCGCCTTTTACGTGGACCACGGCCCACCCACACACTGCTTCAATCCTTGCGGTCATATCGCGTCCGAGGCGACCGTCCGGTAATATCCCCCTGCTTTGCACTTTTTGCAATTTTCCCATCTGGAATTTAATTCGCGAAAACCGAAAAATACCTTTTTAGAAGGACTGAATTTAAAAACTTTTGACTTATCCTACATATGCTTTTAGGTTTTCTTGTTATTGCGGTGCTCATTTGGCCGGCTTTTATGGGAAGGTCTTTAAATGTCCATTGGGTACTTGAAGTTCTGACTTGATCGTGTGGATTTTTTTCGTGGTGGAGCAGGCTTGCGCTGCATCTGCCTCCCCTTCTTCCCACCGACTGCCTTCCAACGACAATACCAGGTCAAGGCAACTGAAAGAGTTTGTGTCCGCGATGTCTGACAAATTTGAACAGGTCATCTGCGTCTACCGCACACGACCTGGTGGTTATTATTTTCATGCGTGCCAAGTCTTCCCCAGATCCTTCAGGAACGAAAGGACCATAAGGGTCACATTAAGACGACATTGCAGTTCAAACCTCACTCCTGTGCAAGGTCGAGTTGTCCCATAGATTACTAGCCTTCTAAGCCATGCCGGTATATTAGGAGGGATTTGGCAGATTTACATAAATCAATTGACCCGGTCGTGAAAATGTAGGCGGCCTCGGTGGGATTCGAACCTACGCCAGCTAGGCAAGGCTTGAGTACAGCCAAAGCTATAGTTAACTGAGCTATCGAGGCATTGCCGGAATTGTTGGATTCCACATGTTGCAGTACGCTGGGTGGGTTAATTGACCCAAGTCTGATTAAATTCACGGTTCCTAGTGCGGCCTTGATAAATTTAAAGCATTTTTTCCCCGGTAATAATTTGAAGCAAGACAGAATAGCAGAATTATTCGCGCGAATAAATTTCGAGAGCGCTTTTCAGCTGCTTCCGCTCCGTGCATGAACAACGAAATAAAAAGAGAACAGCATCAATTTGAATTTACACAAAATCGATAAAAGCAAGGTTTTATCAACGTGGCAAGTGGCCAAAACTTATGTCAACTGTTAAACTCGGGACTAAAAGAAGGGGGGGGATTTAACAAAATAAAAGTGTGGTATGCATTT